AGATCTAAAGCAAGTCGTGGAAAGCTGGTGTTTCTATTAGAAAGGCACCCAAAGCAAGTCTTGTAGAAGTCCATGCATCACTCATTCATATATTATCTCACATGTAACTATCTGGAACAAAACGTCTCGGTCAAAATGGATCACCATTGCAGGTAATCGCAAGGAATCTTCATTCAGCAAACCCTCCGACCCCAGTTTAATGGTCAAGAATTGGTTTTCTTTGAGTCGGCCATTTACAAAGTGTTTGGAAAACATACAAAGGCTTAAGGCTTAACAGCGGAACTTGATCGTGCTGCCATTGAACTTGTCGTCCTAGAAAAGTGGCAAAGGATTGCCGAGGGTACTGTTTACAGTCCTTGATTCCGTTTGGGGTCTGTGGCAAAACCAAAAACCAAAAGGCTTTCCCGCAATTCCTGTCTGATCCGACACATCTACCCCGGATAGCCCATGCTTAAACACGGCAGTTCGCCAACAATCACATCAAGGCCTCAGTTGGAGCATGTCCTAGCTAAGAAAAATCCGTCGAAGCCAAGCCCTTATCGCCTCCAAAAAGACACAAACACGACCTTCCTGTTCGTTCGCGAGCGCTTGGCGTCCAGCCGAAATGCCGACAAAGGACGCCTGGCAATTCGGATCCCTCGAAAAAACTGCAAAGACATGCAAAGACTGAGACCCGGGATGGATGGCAAGTCTAGCACCAAGCAAGGCCAAACGAACAAAATACATCCCACCTTACCACCAACTCTGGTCCGGCGGCAAAGCTTGCATTTCTTGGGGCGTCAAGCACGTCTAATGAATTCAAACGGGCTCTGTAACAAATGAGACGCCAACCATTTAGAATGCACACTCGTTGTGGGTCCCCTATTTTGCCACAGAATCAGAGGTAGGTATTAGGATAGTATAGATGTACATGATTGTACATGTATATACACAATAAACACATTGAACACCTGGTGGGGGATCCTCAACGATTAGCGAATTTGACCAAGACCAAAGCAGTTCAATACAGGGGTCACCTGCTTTTGAGTAAACAGGCACGATTGAGCACAAGAAAAGAAACCGGGAATCCACCGCAGCTACAAAGGGTCGGGTTAAAGCCTCCTCATTCAAGATCAAACGTATTCATTTGATCCAACATGGCCATCATCCAAGACTTCAGTAGCAAAACACAAACCAAGTCATGGTCCGCCTGCCACGGGCATGCGCGCTACACGATGGAGGAGCCCTGCCAGGCAGAACAGCGAGAAGTTGGGATCCGGGACAGGTATATATATATATTATTTTGTTGTTTTCAATTCTGTTTTTGATACTTATTAGCAGTCCATATAGCAATCCCTAAATAAAAGAACGCTCCAACTGAGAGCTATCCACGAGTTATCCACAGGTCTGTAGGCCTCCAACCGGGTGTGCGTTTAGAGACGTCTTACGCCCGTCTTTCGCATGGCTCCTGCGGGACGACACACGCGTTGTGCTGCTGTGGACATGGCGCCGACGCGACACTGGAGAGGCTGGGAGGGTCGGAGCCACACTGCGACGCAGGGCGACGAAGGGCGACACGGTGTGCCGTTCATGTCATGGCTTCCAGGAAAATAGATAATGTCTTTGGGAAAGGGGGTAGTGTATCAACTTGAGAGAAGAGGGGGTGAACGAAAGGTAGCAGGCAATCACAAGTAACCCTGGTAGAAGTCCATGACGGCGTGAACCGGCGCAGGGGGGATTTGATCTGGGCCCCCCCCCGACGAACAGAACCAACTCTTACAGGACCAAACTCAATGCACAATCCCAACTCCTGATTGTAGATGTGATTGTAATACATTTTTGCTAAAGCAAGGAGAACTCAGGTAGCTCAAGCTCCCTTTCGTGACTAGTCTGACTAGTCTTCAATATTATGTGTAAGTATCAGTATAGATAGATAGATAGATAGATAGATAGGAAGGAAGGAAGGAAGGATGGATGGATGGACGGATGGACGCATAGATGTATAGATACTGTAGATGGATAGATAGATGGATAGATGTATAGATAGATGGATAGATAGATACATAGATTAGATTAGATTAGATTAGATTAGATTAGATAGATACATGGATATGTAATGTAATGATAAGTGCACAACATATCACAAGATCAAATGAGTCCTTCAAACTATGCGATCCCTGTGGTTTGCTACACAAAGGCAAAAGCTGACATATGCTGACATCAGTTCTGGTTCCACAATTCTCAAGTAGGGTATGTTCCCTGCTGCACAAAACCAATCATTGGTAACACTGCAGAAATGACAACCTGGCATCGCTACTAGGAGCAAGGACGCTAGTAGGGGCACCTTCCAATTCCTTCCAACTAAGCATGCTCCCAACCTCCAGGTCTCGGGAACAGTTGATGCACCTGCACACCCTGAGGATAGTAGATCCACCATAAAAATTCACGCTAATTACTAATTAGGAGATATTCCCGCGTATTGAACAGAATGTTTCTGAAGCCCATGGAAAAACACATTCAATATTTATATTATATATAACGAGCACCAAAACAACATGGTTCACCATGGCTGTAGGTCTGGTATGGTCTGGTAGTCCCGAGTAGTCCTTCCAGAACGTCATCTGCTGAAGCGCAGCACTGTGCACTGGGGAGATTTGCAGGACATCCGTGATCTGTCCAATGTCCATGAATTTGTGTGTTCACGAATTGCCGTTTGTCCAAAACATTCCAATCTGGTGCTTTTGGACATCGGAAAAATGCTTTTGGGGATGAGGAGCACCATCCAAGAGTGCAAAGTGGTGCATCCTAATCTGGTGAAGCAGGGGACCCCATTTGATGGGCTGCCGAGACCTGGTCCCCAGCATCCTGTGCCTGTCAAACGGGTACAATTACAACACGATCTGATGCACCGGCACCAACTTGCAACAAAACTTATATATATATAAGTACGATAAACATGATGTGTCGGTGACTCAGGGAGGCAAAGGTCAGGGGATGACATCAAAACTGGAAGCAAATCCTGAATGTTTGGATTAACGACTAATACCGAAAGGTGGAAACACAGTGCGTCCAGCGGTTCAAACAATAGTCTGTCTCTAACAATTCAAAAGAATCAACACTGACTCTGTAAGTATCTTGAGAACTCCCCACTCTCTTTCTTTTCCCCCAAGAAAGACGCGCTTCTCCGACGGAAAGACCGACTCGCGCGACGAAAGCAGTTTGACGCTGCCCACGACAATGTTCCATTGACAGTTATCGAAACCCATAGACATCTATCATTAATCTGTCTATCATTGCTATCAAATTGATTCAACTTGGCTCAATACGGCTCAATGTCTTTGCTTACAAACCGACCAGCCAGTGAAGCTATACAACGGCCCAGTCTGGACGACTTCTAGAAGGCGAGAATATGCCATGACGAAAAAGTGGTGGCCTACAGGTCACACAACAAATGCAAAGGACGTGCCATGGCGTGCCCTTACATCTTCATTCATCTTCCATTTTCAAATCAAAAAAAGGACTCACGTCACATGTCATCCGTCGCAATCGCTGGTGAGACGTCTTTCTCTCCCAGTTGGGAAGACATCAAGGACCCAAAGTCGAGAAAGCTTGAGACCCAAGTCGACGCCCTGACGATCGGAAGCATACCAACTCCTGGAGACAGATCTTGATATTTATAAAGCAAATGGCCTTTAAAGGGCGCCCTTGTTACTATATAGTAGCGTCCTTGTTCCTAGTAGTAAGGCCAGGAGCCCCGTTCGTAGCGTCCTTTGGTAAATTCTTGTGTTTCAACATCTTAGACTCTAGACTCTAGAACTGCCAGCCTTGATGTCTTCCAGGCGTTCTCAGCCCCTCAACCTGGCCAGCGAAGGTCCAACCGAAGCCACAGCCCGAAAGCCATTCTCGGTGATCCCTGCGTCGCTGCTCATCGCTCCTTTTTTCCGAGGGGGAAAAACCAGCCAATGGGCGGTGAGGTGAAACGTCTGGCCCAGGAAGCGCGAGGTGAGGCCACTCGATTGTTCCCTCTGTTCCCCATGTTTTCATGCACAAATCCGGTTCAATACGAGTGACAAATGCCATCAAGTCTTATTGAAGCATGCCTATCAAAGAGCTTGAGAGATTGAAAGGACATCTGCATGCCTATAGCAACTATGCCTCCAGGCTCACTTCACAACCCCCCTGGACCTTCTGTGGCAGTCCCATACCCACAGCCGTTCGATTCAGCCGCAGGGAATCCCATCTGATCGGAGCCAAACGCAAAACGATGACAAAACGCGCCAACTCGTGCCGACACTCCTTGGGGGGTTCGAACCAAACGCGAAACGCACCGTGGCGCCGTGGCTGTGACGGTGGGGCGGGACTCCTTGCCATGATCGAAAGGATCCGAAGAATGTCCACTGTGGCACCCATGTGCCACCTGGGTTTGGGCCGAACCCAGCTGAGATGAATATCACTGAATGATCGCTGAGTTTCCACCGTGGGGCGGACATCTCACCGACTCACCGACATCACTTCTTCACCGTGTTGACCGAGCGCCCAGGAATCGCATGCCCTGTGTAGCCTGTCCCATGAAAGGAACCTGATCTGGCCTGCTCTGGAGACTCCGGATCCTTTCTTTCGTCGACGTTCAGCGCGCTTCGCATGGGCTTGGCCCAGCTCGTTTCGCGCGAGGCAGCGGAGCCCTGAGTTCTTGGAGGGGCATCTGGCACAAATCATGAGATCTGAGCTATGCTTCAAGCAATAGGACAGCATCCAAACAACAACGACCAGGGTTTTAGCCAGGCAAAAGTCTCGGAGATATGATGTTCATGACGCAGCCTTTATTCTAGAGTCCGTACAAGTAGTTGGCATGTTGTACCTGTAAGTAGGTCTTTGAACTGGAACTTTGGACCATTGGACCACCCAAAAAGGACTGGATGTCAAACTGGCTCATGCAGCAAGTATGCTGTTGCATTCATACCCTCGTCCCCCAAAATGGTTGCAGTCCTCCATTGGTTCTAAAGCACCACATATCAATGTTTGGCAACAAATAAGATTCTCAAGGCAAGCCGCGCCTTCAGTCCTGAAATGCTGAAAAACGGAAGGCGTTGTTGGCAAGACTATTTCTTGCTGCACGTCGCGACATTGGCCGCGGTAGTTCTTGTGTGTTGATTCGTCCTTGGTAGGAAGAGAGGGGACAGGATCCATGCAGTTGGCCTGAAGTTTCCTGCGCATCTTTAAAGAAACAAACACACATGTCATGAGTCACGATGTGAGAAGTTCAAAAGTGTGTTGCAAGAAGCTGGCCAAAATGCCAAGTTTCCTACGTTTTGTGCAAAGTAAGCGACTGGAAGGACAACATATTTCAGCCTGTTCAGTTCAGGCAGGATTGGGAAGAATTGTGGCCGGCCAACCATCCTCTTTTCAGCTGCACCATTCGGTGTACATCTGGAAAAAACAAACATCGAATGGCAAATGTAATCTAATAAATCATCGCCATTACCTGGTGATGCTGCTAAGACTTTACTTTACTACCAGGAATCGAATATTACACTACCATCTGGAACAGTACCAGCGACCCAACATGGCGGCAACTGTTCTTTGCTCATCCATCCTACCAAGGCCTGCAATGCCAGTCACCAAGTTATTTTGAGAACGTGAATCGGCTACACCAACAAGTATACACACTGATCCTTGACGAAGCCGACCTTTATTGCCGGAGTTCCCCGAAGAGGTTCGTGATGAACCAAACACCCTGGCTGCTGCCATCTTCTTGAGCCCCTGACTCAAACCACAATGCATCCCAAAAGTTAGAAAAATATGAACAACATATACCACAGCCAGCTCAGTTGTGTATTATATGCTGCTGATATATAACTATAGACCCAATAGACTATGCCAGGCCCAAAGATTTACCATGATTCTGTGCCAGGATGACATATCATTAAGCATGGACACGTATTGTACCAAGACCCATTGGTTGATGGGTCATGATGGGCCTCCCTATTGAAATCCACGACCATTGCCAAGTCACGTCGACTTCGGGTGATGCGTTCGCCTATCGCCTCCACTTGAGCTGATCCAGTTCCATCCTCCTCCTGTTGCAGGCCGATGCTGCTTAAACCACAAGAATTGCAAGGATTCAACGATAACTAGGAGATATTAGGAAGTACAGTGTTGACCTAATAATCTGTGTGGAAGCACGCGAGTTTTGCTCACATAGGCGGAATTCGAGGGCGCTCTAAAATAGCGAAAGGTTGTGCAATTACTTTAATTGCGAACCTCGTTGATGAATGGCCTTGATTGCGCCTTTCAACATCAAAAACACCCTGGAAAAACCAAGTAGACCACCTCCTGCTTTGCATCAAGACTGATCATTTGGATCATGTAAGATGGATCAATGTAAGATTGTGAGTTGCGTCATGGGCGCTGAAGAGCCGCTAGAGATTCACATTCAGATTTCTCATGGAACCCCTTCCCCAATCAAAGACCCCTCTGGATCAACTTTAAGTGCAGTAATTGGACGACCACTTTTAGGGGGGTCTTTGCCACTAGCCTCATCAAAAGACTGCCGTCGGGACCCCCTCCCCTTTCAAAGACTGCCCTTGATCAATCATTGACCAAAGGAAAACAACTTTCTGAATTTCAGGAGGGCCTCTGAAGCAAATGGCTGCCTCATCAAACGACTGCCGCTCCCCATTCTAGATCAATCTTTAGCCATCGGAAAGCCAATTTCAGAAGAGTCTTTGAAGATCGTTGACGCCACTAAAAGACTGGTTTTAGCATGTAATTTCGCAATTACAAGACTCATTTTAGCACTTAAATCTTTTTCTTGTCATTAAAATATGACTTTTGTATACTTTTGTTTTTAAGAGGTACCATGGCAGGATTCCATCAGGAAGCTCCAGGTGTATCTCTTGGACTTAATGAAAGCCATTCCACCCTACTACAGTAGTATGCCTATATTTGGCCGGCCTTTCTCATTGAGATGCTTCGACCAAGGCTGGCTACAGGTCATCGTCTGTGCAACGAGCACCCAGAATACGAACCAAAACATACACAGGGCACCTGAGATGCTTCATACACAGCGCCATGGCTACCCCGCAACCCCTGGTTTGCCGATGTCCCACTACGACTCCGGCTCTCTCGATCCGTGCTGTCTCCGCACCAATCCCACCTGCTTGGGGCTGTTGGCCCTGTCTGCATCACTTGTATTGGAGTCCTTCGAAGCCTTCGCAGTGACCTCGTAACCTGGCAGGGCACACGTGGCCTTCAGAGTGGGGATGAACCACGGGGCTCTTAGTGGCTGTCTTGGTTTGGTTTCGGGAGGTCACTTACATACAAATCATACATCTGCATCCCGTCTGCTATAGATTGAAACTTCCACTCACTGACGTGAGAAGTGGACAGTGGCCGGTCGAAAATTGTTGCTTTTTCCATACAATCACATGGTTGTTCACCTCCATGTTGGTATAGAAGTCGGAGAACAGTTGCCTCTTCTGAACTCTGATTCTTGAAGATGAGCCCTGACTTTGGGACACTGAACCAGTACGGCGAACAAAAAGTTCCACATGGAATCGCATGGGTCGGCTTTGGCCTGTTTTTTTGCCAAAGGAGTGGGTTTGACTTGTGGCTTTGGATTCTTCTTTGAACAAAATGCTCCAATTCCGATTCCCTGCCCGGGTTTCGGACGTCTTCCCGCACCGCCCGTGTGGCGCCTTGACGAGTATTCTCTCGACTGCTCCTTCTCGTGGCTGAATCCTCATGTCCTGTGGGAAGCGAACGCCACCCGGGCAATCATCAGATGTCTGTGACTTGCATAACACAATATGGCATTCACCATTGATTGCAGGGGTTCACTTTCTTTATATATATATATATACATACAAATATTAATACACACAGTAGAGGCACACACACACAGGATAGTTGATCTGCAAATATGCAGCAAACCGTCCTACTAGTGGCAGGTGTCCTCATCATCACCCCAGGATTTCATTTGACATCTGAGTCTTCTTGCTCTGCACATAGTTGTTTTTCTAATCACTCTGCTACGCCACACACACATGGAGAAAACGATGGGAAATGGATGCACATTGTGTAATATATTTTCCGGATGGTAGTCCTTACGCACGGACACTGACCGGTGCATGTCAGTGCTTGACAGCACTGACATGCAAACACGAATCAGTTTGAATGAGTACCCCAAAAAACAAAAGAAAGGCAAACACACAAAACACACTTAAGGCTAAGGCTGCAACCAAAGAATGCATGCAAATTCAAAACAGGTCATTCAAACAATAGCGACATGTACTGAGTCTTCTCCGAGGCGTCTCTGTACGCACGCATCTTTCCTTCTCAAGATCGAAATGGGCTGACAACTGACTTGTTGAGTGAGACACACATACACACTATTTGCATCCCTGTTGGAATAACGAGGAGATCTGGGAACTCTCCGTCCATTATTTGCCAATACACATGTCTTTACTTTGTTAAATAGCCTGGTTATCTAGCAGCTAGCAAATGATTCTTTCTTCTTTGCTTTGTCAGTACAAAGCCAGCAAACATCGACTGGGCTTTCATGACAACCATCAACCATGTAGTTTCCACATCTGCCTCCGTGGAAACCCTGCGACCGAGGTGCCAGAGGAACCGTGACGAGTGTGGGACAAAAGCCAGTTCTTTGTGGAGTCCCCCTGCCAGCGAGTCTTCCAACGGAGCGGCAGATGTTCCAGGGTTTTCCAAGGCGACTGCTGATGTGCTGTTCTTTCTGGATCAATTTTTATGATTTTTTAGGACTTTTTGGAGTGGTAAGTGGCAAGTCGGTTTTGTTTGGTGTCCCGAGAAAGTGGGGGTAGAGTCAGGGAAGATTCGGAGCAAATCCCTGTGCAGTGTGTTGCAAATCCTGGTTTTGCACAGGAGATCGGTTTTGCGGTGTTGCACCACATCTCCTCCCAACCCGCACTTCACTTCTCGTCCCATTACTATGCAAAGCCAAACAGAAAAAACACAATCATTAAGGAGCAAAATCCTTCCGAGCCGGAGCCTAAAAACCACACAAAATCCATCATGCAGTGACAAGGTCTTGTTGCTTTTGCTGGTGACCCTGTGTCTATCCCTAAACTCCAAAAATGTACAGAGTCGAGGTGATGTCAAGTACATCTGGCTATGGCCTCACAAACTAGTATCCCCAAACACTGAGCAAACTTGTTCAGCCGTGTTTTCCCATGTGTTCCCCAAATACTGCGCCAAGCGTCTTTCTTCTTCAGGGTCGTGCTCCCGCGACGACTCCCAACGTGGCTCAGTGACGGATTTCCTGGCCGACTCGAAGAAGACTTGAAGAGAGGACCACATGGAGCTAGTTTGCAAAGAAAACCATGGCATGTTTGGCAAGTTACCCAGGTTGCATCCGTTCAACATCACAAAGCAACATCATCATAAAAGCTGTTGAAGCATGCACACTCTTTTTCAACCCAGTCTGCATACTTGACTGTGGGACACTTTCATGGACCTCAGGATGCGTGTGACCTTCCCATGAGGCATTACAGTATCACGTTGGACGTGGCTGACTGGGGATGTCAGCTGACCATTCCGTCCAACAATCTTGTCGTCCAACCCCACGAGGGCACAGCTCTATTCTCAGAAAACAGCTGGTGAAAAACTGAGGGCAGGCTGCAATACAAACAAAGAACTGGTGGCTTCTCCATGATTCTCCCCTCTTCTCCATGCTTCACCTCTACAAGAAAACCAATGGTACGGCCGAACGTGCAAAGCCCCCGACACCGCGGGCAACTCGCCTCGGGCACCCAACTCCTCATGGATCGCATGCCTCGCTGACGGAGGGCTGAGGATCGTTGATGACTGCTTCAGCCGTTGTTCAGGAGCAAAGGTCTACCTGATCTACCTGAAATTCCCACAATCAGGACCTCCAAGCGTCATCGAGTAATGCTGCCTACAATTTTGTCCATCACGACTATAAGCAAACATAAAGGCCTCTGAAGAACATCGTAAATGCTTGATGGTTGTTTGTGTTACCGGCGTCATTAGTGACCCCTGCGTTTCGGAGCATTTTTGCTGTCTCTAAGGACTCTTTGACAGTAGGGGGCTGGGGATGGCTGGGGGGGGGTAACTACGTCGTGTTCTTCTTGTTTCACGACACATGCACCGTGGTGGTGTTGTTGCTGGAGGTTGAGCGTGGTATGCTTGTTGCCCGAAACATGGACCATGGTGGTTTTGGTGGATCGGACTTGCGCCGTTGCCTTTGACGGGTTCCGTACGTCAGCTTCGATTGTTTTTTGGTGGTCGACCTGGTTCTTTTTGTTTGTTACATGAAACCGCGACGCTGAACTGTTTAGGCTTCAGGATGCGCGAACTCACAGTTCGTGAGGTCTTGTCGTTGTGTTTGGTGGTTTTGTTGCGGTTGGTTAGGGTACCTTGTCCGGATCCTCTGTTGAATCTGTGGTTTGAAGTGGACATTGATTATGTCGTGGATTCTTTGATTTCTCTAGCAACTAGACACACGGGACCTCTTGACAGTCTGACAGTTTTGTTTTGGACACGGTTCTGGACCCGGATCGTTGGACGGTGTCTTTAGAGGCTCTAGGCATTTCTCACGATGTGTTATACTTTTCCTGTACCACGGTGTATAGCAGTTAGCTACATGCTAAACACCAGGCGATGAATGAATGACATTTTCTAACAAAACACCAAACAAATGGTTATTCACAGTGTCATTCCCTTGTTTTTACCATGTCGGGCAGACGCAGGTAGACCTGCCAATGTGGAAAGTGCATATATATATATATAAACATACAGTGCTTCATAAAGGTGGGGCCAACTAAGGACGTTCTTTCGTGCACACTGATGGGGCCAATGCTTATGTGACCTTGGCTAAACGCAAACGGTGGCCGTTCACACAAGTGAAGCATGCCCGTATACAGCTTTGCCGAAGGCTCAATAAAGTGTTGCGTGGCCAAGCTGTGAGAACAGGAACAAGTGATTGACCGAGTCTGGGGTCACCTGAAGTCATACGTCCCCAATAGTATCGTTGCCAAATGCTCCACTGGACTAAACCCGCTCTTGATGAAGTACACTTGGAGCTACCAGTTTCGATCAAACTGTGGCAAGAGCCTTTGGACAAAAACTGGGCAAACAGTGCCTGAAGTTCTGACTGCGTCTGCTTCGCGGAAGTCAAAAGACGCAATAGAGCACATGTCATGAAAACATGATTTCGACACGAAACACTGCGAGGGTTAATGATTTCTCTCCTCAACAGTAATACGCTGTTGTGTTCAAAAAAGGGGGGGACAAAATTCAGCTAGTTGCAAGTCGTAGTTCCAATGTGTTTGATCTTTTGGGGAATAGTTTTTCTCTTTATGCTAACGGTTCTTTTTTTATGCTGGATTTGGGTGGGTTCTTTTTTTAGGCTAACGGTCTTTTTTTTATGCTGAGGGTTTTTATCTTTATGCTGAGGGTTTCTATTTTTATGCTGAGGGTTTTTATTTTTATGCTAACGAATGTAATTGTCGCGGGGCTTTCTTGGAAAATGTAATTGTCGCGGGGCTTTAGTGGAGAATGTAATTGTCGCGGGGCTTAGTGAAGAATGTAATTGTCGCGGGGCTTTATTGGAAGGGCGGCGGCGCATCTGCGCACACAGATTAATCTGCGCACACACATTTTGTTAGCACTTGCGCCTCATCTGCGCACACAGATTTGACTCATGCGCGCACACAGTCCATCGGGGAGACTCAAGTGCGCACACAGGCCCTTTCCCGCATGTTTGCTCACTTAAAGGGGTCGTCAAGATGGAATGGCCACTTCCTCCTCTAAATCTTACCCCTCCAGTGGCTCACCAAAGGGTGAGTCAACTTGGAATGACCACTTCCTTCTCTAAATTTTACCCCTGCCTT